CTGAGTTTTCAAGTGTGATGCTGTAGCTTTGACTCCTTGACAAAAGCACAGGAGAATGAAGTTCAGTTCCCAACAATACTCTCGTTCCTTTCATTAAACTCTGCCTTTTACTCTTCGTGCCATATCATCGACTTGCCTTCTACGACTTGCAAAAGGGGAAAGCTTCGAGAAAAAGCGGTACCCTCCCCACTCCGAACTTCATTTTTATCTCTTTTTAAAGGCACAGTTCACGATTATTTTGGGTAATAGAGATTATGATGAAAAATTGAAGACAAGATCGAAACTAGTGCGACTGAGGTGAAGAAACTGCGTGTATAGGTGTCTCCAAAGTGGAAAAATGCTTCGAAAAACCGTTAAAAAGGGGGCTGGTCGAGAATTAGACTAGAAAAATGAAGAAGAGTGGGGGGTCCGGACGAGCCAAACAGTGTGTTTCACTGCGCGCGCGTGGGTCCTGGTGCGAATAACAGACAATGGTAAGCAAAAATTCATTCACTTATAAGCATAAATAAACAAAAAAACCCTAGTAACAGCAAAAGTAGCTCACCTTTCTCAGCCTCTAGGAGTAGGAAATTAAATAAGGGATTGCGGCAGCAAAAAGGAAAACAGGGGAAAAGAGAATGGGAGAGAAACGTCGCTTCATCACTAGGCGACTAGCTGATTGCGCGTGGGTCCTTGAACGAATAATAGCAATCTGTATTGTCTCGACACTCCTCTAACGTGACACCGATCGAGGGGCGGGAAAGCGAACTACGGCAGCAACGGGGCTTCCACTATGCCCTAAGCGCAGAGATTGTGGGAGCGAGAGGGTCCTTTCTACCACCCATGGGGGGCGCTGATTATTCCTGAGGGAAGAATAGTAACCTTTTAATCGTGAACCGTGCCTTTAAACGGATTGAACGATATCTGAAAGTAAAGTCTCGCTTGGCTAGTCATGAGCCTGACCAATTTTATGATCTACTTGGTGCCAACCAATTTGAGCGCTGTATTTCCTTAACGAATTAATTCGGATTTTTCCTTAACGAACTCCCTCCAATATCAAACAAACGTGCTAAGCAATCCAGCATGAGCACAATCAACCGGAAATTTGTAGAGGTTGAAAACTGAGAGGACCACTACTTCAGTGCACAATTGGAGAACTTACTAGAAGCCATTCAACGTGGGTGATAATAATGTTGGCATTGGCTGTGACTTCAGCTTTGATAACATATTCGCTGTGATTGAGAATGGAGGCCAGTGGAAGTCCCTTAATTAGTGCTAATAAAAAAAGCGCAACAAAGCAGAAACTGAAAACAATGATAAGTCTCACGTTCATGCTGAGCACACCACTCTTCACGCTAAGAGGTTCTCGAGCGGTGATAGTCAAATGGATTCGACCTATCCGACGTCGCGTCTCACCCAAAAGCAGATAGCTCGTCTGAAATCCTTATAAATTTCTGACATAGAGAGGATAATGCGAAATGATGCTATGAAAATTGTTGGAAAGTAAGAGCAGGAATCGAGCATTCAATGTGATATTAGCTCTTAGAGAGCCATCTTCTAGTGTAGGTGTTTTCTTGATCTGACGCAATCTGAACCGTGAACAGTTTCGGAGGACACTGTTAGAACCAAAAGATAGGAAGACGTCCAATTTTCTTTCATGGATGCCGTCAATGCATTTCACAGCCGCTTACGTCTGTGGTAGCGAACCGTAAGGTGATTCCGCCAAGTTTAAAGGCACAGTTCACGATAAAAATGGTTTCTGAGATTCCCCCACAGGACGAATTTGGGGCCCCCGCGTATACCATATCTGGCACTATTAGGTCGGAAAACGGCCTAGTTAGAGAGTTATAAAGGCTCAAAGATTGGCCCGTGTGTCTCCTCGGATGGGTTTCATCGCCATTGTAGAGGCTACACCGATCACAAGGGAACCCATGTAGGAAGTTCAAACAACTTGTCATGACCCATAGCGACAGTGAAAGGCAGTTCTGTTCAGTTCTGGCTTGATAGTCAACTTTTTGTGCAATTGCAATAGCTGAGTCTCGTCCGAACACACCTTCCACGTTATTTCCGTCATGGCAATCTCGTCCAACCTCTATTTCCCATATTTTGAAGAGCCATATTTTCTCGAAATCGACAAATTTTCTCGCTTTCTTCACTGAAGATGAACTATTCCTCCCAATCTATATTCCCTCTTTTCGAATAAAATCGGGTGACTCAAAATTATCGTGAGCTGTACCTTTAAAGGGTCGCAGGCGCAACTTTGCCTCTGGCCTGACGCGGCGAATTTCCGTTCAGAACCGTGCTATTACAATACATGGTCCTTTTCAAGAGATAGAAAACAATCGAAATCATTTTTCTTGATAGTGTAAGGAGTAATTATCAAGAAATTAATAAGCATAAAGGCCAAATGAGGATTCCCAGTTCTTCCAGATCCTATAGGACACAAAGAAATACCTTATAATCGAAAGGGATCAGGCAACACTCAACACTCGATCAGGCGAACGCGGGTGGAACTCCTCCAAATGAAAAACAAAGGGAAAAGTTGTTTGAATATATTTTTCTAACGTTCTACTTGGAAAAGTGATGTGGAAGTTGATGCACGCTGAAATGCTCTTGTTTAAATGGACAATCTCTCGGTCGATCCCCATGAAGATTGTGTTCGATTGGGGTCACCGCTCACCTCTAACTCCAAGTCAATATTTCCTACAAGTTGCGCGGAAAATCGCACTGGAACGTGGATCTGGAAAGGATTCAGAATTTGAAGCGATACTATCGACGAAATACGTTACACCAAGCAGAAAAACAACGCACCGTTTCACCAGATTCTACCACCTCGGCTCCAACAATAGTCAATTCAGATCGGAGTTCGTCGTTCTCGTCCACAAACAGAACCGCTATTGCTTCTGTTGTCTGTTGTTCGTTACGTTTGAAATCCAACCTGAATGATCAATTTACCGTATTCGAGTAATCTCAAAGAGTGAGTGGAATCAGTCTTATACAAGCACGTTCAGAGAGTTTTCCGTTGGGCAATGGTGAGAAGACGTAGGCTCGACAAATGGCTATCCGCTTGTGCAATTGCCCAGTTTAATAGTCAGTTATTTCATAGTCTTTCTCGATAACAACTTTTGGAGAATCGAACTCTGTAGAGAAGAAAATAACAAGGAGCATGGTTTAGTGTGCAACATTAACAAAGGCCAGGGGAATGATTCCCAAACGATTCATTCGATCCTTCATATAAGGTGTGTGGTCAGGTCGTGGGCCTACGAATTAATAATAACGCAGCCTGAAATAAAAACTGGTTTTTGTATTTCTTTGCGTAAACATAGAAACCATCCTATTTCCCACTGCTTACGGCTAAAAGTAAAGTTAAATGAGTGGCGCTTTGCCAAAGATTCGTTCGGAGAGGATACATCTTACTCTACCATTGTGAGACAATCATGGGTGAGAGCACTGATGTCTGAGTTGTGATATGTGACAGTAAAGTAGTTGTCGTTAACCACAGTAGTCACATTTAGGAATGCGTGGCATGTTCCATTGAAGCTGGTCAACGTCAAGTATAATATTTTACATTTCTTATCTTCTATATCGAGCAACAATACCTCGATCAAAATATAAGCTTTCTGCCCTCATTCGGATTATGACTGCTTCAGTTTTAGATTGATACGCACAGAATATAGTGCTATAAATACGGGAGAACGTCCGCTGCGCGCGTCCGGCAAAAGTAGGCCACCCCACCCACTTCGCCGCGGCGCTCCACACTGAGGTCTCGAGACGACACCACAGTGCCACCACGTGACGGTGGAGCGAAGGATTTGCATTTGTCCGTGTCATCTTCTCTTTGGCTCACTGTCGTGGACTGAGCGCAATTCGTATGCCCCCGCTGACAACTGCGACGTTTGTCAAAGATCGCGGGCTGACCCGCCGCATGCGATGGCTGCGGCGTGACCTAGTTTCTACGGACGCGCGTAGCGAAGCGCACCCATACATACGTGGAATCGGGGTAGTGGCGCAGAACCACTTGAATGCTCCGAAATAGAATTCTGAATCAATACTAGCAAAAGCAACAAGCCTTCCAATACTCACGATTCGCTGAACTTTTATCAGTTTCATACTGAAAGGTAAAAGTGCCGACTTGCAAATAGGACAGCCCCACGAGTCACGCTGTGAAACTTTGCCTTTACCTTCTATGTAAACGCACACGAGACGTACACAATCAACGTTGAACATCGCCTGATAAACAGCGATTTTCTTATCCAGTCAAATGATACCCTTTGCTGAGCCAAGAAGGGTGATGTTCTAGTTGAGCAGGCTCGATTCGAGACTGGATCACTGAGTAATGCGTATGGGACCACCGCTTCTTGCAATTTCCACCAAATCATAACATATACACGGTCAACACCTACAGAAACAATACCAACTGGTATTTATATAAATCTTACCGAACGGCCTCAATTTTATGATTACACGTATTCTTCAACTCAAGAGTAGCGGCAGCAATCTCCGCAACCAGGCAGCTCACACGCGTTGAAGACGGGTTAGCTTCCAAATCACCATCCGAAGCGGCAATCCTTAAGTCGAATTCACTTCTTGAATCATCAGGCAATATCACTACACCGCAACTCATAACGCGGAAAGAAATTTTCGGAGAGACCGTACCTCAACATATTGGAACCGAATTCGGAACGCGGACGTTGAGATTGTAGCAGCGTATGATCGAAATTGTACTCTAACTGGCCGAACATTTTTGAATGACGATCGCCTATCTCCAAACAAACTCGTGTGATCTGAAAATACTTGTAAATTTTATTACTTTTTATTATTTTCTTGAACATTAGCTTCCAATTTCTCTCCGAGCAATCCTTTAGAGGGGGGTCGTGAATTTTTCTTACTCATGAATTACAGATTAGATTTTTTTTGCAAAAAAATCAATAATTAGTCAGATTAAGGTGATACTCCACCTCAATGGCTTCATTTAAAGGCACAGTTCACGATAAAAATGGTTTCTGAGTTGGCCCCTTGGCATAACCCGTGGCCCCTCAAGTGTAACAGCAAGGACGCTGTCGGGTCGAAAGACTCAACAGCTAGGGCATAGTGGAAGCCTCGTTACCGGATCGCCCGTACTTCCCGCCTTTCGATCGATGTCATTCAGACGAGTGTCGAGGCGTTACAGGCTGCAATATTCGCTCTAGGACCCACAAATAAGCTGATCGCTGAAAAATGAGACGATGTTTTCTGCTATTCCATTATTCTCTGTTATTCGTTTTGCTACTGCAATCCCTTATTTCAATTTCTACCACGGGTTACTGGGGCTTTTTTTACTAATTCATGTTTATGAATTTTTGCTTGCCGTAGTCAGCTATTCGCACCAGGACCTACACATACGCAATGACGCACATTATATAGCTCGTTCAAACGCCCCATTCCTCTTCATTTTCTGGTCACATTCTCGTCTAGCTCCCTTTTCAACGATTTTTCGAAGCCTTTTTCACTTTAGAAACACCGACTGATGCAGTTTATTCGCGTTCATCAAACTATTTCCCATTTTATCTTCCATTTATCGTCATAATCTGGTTCACCCAATATTTTCATGAACTGTGCCTTTAATCAACTCTAGCGGGAAAAAGCTATTTTGGATACACTCACCTGGGTATCCGGCTGTACTTTTTCAGTTTTCGAATCCAAAAGAGTAACAATCACCAACCCATAGAGTTTGTCCTTTCTGAATCTGTGCTTTGGAAAGATCTAGTATAACAATGACGGCAGTTTTCTTCTTAGGCTCCAACGTGATGGATTGTCGGGAAGCCTGAACAAGCGGCATGACGTCTGAAATGGCTACAGGATTCCGACGTCTTCGTTCAGCATCACAGCCGACGACCACGGCCGACAAGCTGAAAAAAGAGGACTGAATTCTTCAATGAAAAATCGCTCGATTCTATATCACATATGTACAACCACTCGTTTCTTTTTTCTCTATGGGAGCACCAAATTTCAAATACACTTTTAGACGCCGAACGTGAAATGAAAATGAGGCACAGACTGTTTCCATCAATGAGGACTCCTTCGACTAAAGGAACTAGCAGCTTTCCTGGGAAATGATCGCTAGGAGGAAGTCGTCCGTTAAAGCCAGACAATTGACAGCTAGATCAGGAGCGAGGACGATTGGAAAACCAACTAACCCAGTGAGCAGGGTGTTTCAGTGCTTTTAGAACAGGTATGTCGTTCTTTCAGTAAATATAAAGTTCTCTGCTAGCTAGGCAGTCTGTTCATCGATTTCTAGTTGTAAACTATTCCTGACAAATATCAAATCGGTCATAATTCTGAAGCTGTAATGCCAGCTGATGCAAATAACAAAGCAATCCTCGTAAAAAGATTCGAGTCAGGCGAGCTGAAAAAAAAAACAGTCTAGAAGCAAGGAAACTGCCAACTAGGGTGAGGTAATTCCTTCCCGAAAATCGCGCCCCTTCCGAACCAATTTCTAAATGATTTTCTGTTGAGGAACATCTGGAATACCGTAGTCTTCGGAGCTGCATAAAAGTGAGGTAACTTCATAAACACGTACCGAATAGGATGGACAGCGGACGACCGAAGACAGATACGTACCGGGACCTTGGCGTCCAACTGCACTGCATCGGTCTCAAGGAACGCCGCCTATAACAGCCAATACACGAATCAAGTAGAAATGTCATTCCACTGTGTAACCCATAACCAACCTGAACGGTCACAAATGTGTCAATGTGAGACGCTTGTATGCTGAAAAATTGACGTTCCGTGAACAGCTTCACCCAGTTTTGTTGATACTGCGCCATCTGCAATTGATATCAGTTTTCCTCCACGAACCCTTTTGAGCATATATCACAACCCTACTTCCCCTTCGGAAAATATTTCAAATATCACGAAATCTAAACTGTTCTCCAACGTTTTGGAAAAAGTCGTGCATTTAGTCAACTCAGTGTTTTTTTCAGTTGCAAGAAGCGAGTTCGCCAAGCATTTGGCAACACTTTTTGCAGCTTAACATACTAAACTTATGACAATAAACACCAGTACATATCGAATCACCATCACAATAGCTAGAAAAGAACCGTCAGCTTTTTACAAAAGATTGGATTTCACAGCAGAAGAGCATCTAATCCTTACTCTATCAAGAGAGCTAGACAATTTGATTCTATCTGCCCACTGTCACTATTCATAGAGTGCATTCTTAAGGTTCAGATTCAGTGCATCGTATTGCATGCTATGCGCAGCTTAGAATTGAAGCTGGGCATCAACCGAATAGAGTTCGCCAAGCAGTAGAATTTCCTACTCCAAGAAGTTTGGACATGATTCAACAGCTAGAATCTCTTGACCCATCTACGGCATTTTGAACAGGGCCTCCGACACAAACAAAATAACTTTTCACCATTTTTCCCTAAATAAACATGATGGCGATTGACGCTTTCTGTCCGGAGAAGCAACAATGAAATGAGTATAACAGCCAAAATAAACAAGTCTGAGCGTATAAAATAAGTAATTTTTACCGCAAAACTATTAGCTCAACTATTCCCACAACGAACTTGCACCTTTTTCAGATTCTTTTCCTCGAGGCAAAGCACGAACCAAACAGGTTTTCGCCAAGCAATTGAAACAAAGGTCCCACTAGAGGAGGTTCTGCCATGAGCTCTGACAGGGATAGCTGTAGCATTATT